TGTAGGATTTGTATCCAAAATACATAAAGAACTCTTACAAAAGTCAACCATAAAAAGACAGCCCAAATAAAATGGGGGTAATTTTTAATTGTCAATGGACCTTTATTTTAGTTATTTATATGTGGTGCTGAGAATTGAACCCAGTGCCTCACAATGCTAGGCAAGTGCTCTACCACTGAGCCACAACCCCCGCCCCTGTTTTTTCCATTTTTAGTGTATTTATTTTCACTGTAATATTTATTATTAACCTTCTGTCTGCTTGCTTTGGGTTTAATTTGCTCTTCTTTTTTAAAGTTTCTGAAGATGGAAGAATAGGTTATTGATCTTAAAACCTTTTTAAAAAATATTTTTAGTTGTAGATGGCCACAGTATCTTTATTTTATTTATTTATTTTCATGTGGTGCTGAAGCTCAAACCCAGTGCCTCACACGTGCTAGGCAAGTGCTCTACCACTGAGCCACAACCCCAGCCTCTTAAAATCTTTTTAAATATTGGTGTTCACAGCTCCCTCTTAGCAGTGCTTTTGTTGTATCTTATAGAGGTTTTGGTATGTTGTGCTTTCCTTTTCACTCACCTCAAATTAGTTTTTTAATTTTCTTTGTCATCACAATCTTCTCTGATCCATTAATTATAGGGAATGCCTTTTTAAAAATTGTCTTATTTTTATTTTTTTAAAGAGAGAGAGAGAGAGAATTTTAATATTTATTTTTTAGTTCTCGGCGGACATGTTTTTATTTTTTTAAATGTTTATTTTTAGTTGTAATTGGACACAGTACCTTGATTTTATTTATTTATTTTTATGTGGTGCTGAGGATGGAACCCAGCGCCTGGCACATGCTAGGTAAGTGCTCTACTGCTGAGCCACAACCCCAGCCCTACCTTTTTTTTTTTTTATCTATCATTATTTATTTAATACTTATTACCATGTACTAAGAATTATATGATACTGTACAGGTGTTTCCTTTGTTATAATCATGCCTTGGTGCATGACTGTAAACCCAGTGGCTCTGAAGGCTGAGGCAGAAGGATCGCGAGTTTAAAGCCAGCCTCAGCAAAAGCAAGGCACTAAGCAACTCAGTGAGACCCTGTCTCTAAATAAAATACAAAATAGGGTTGGGGGTGTGGCTTAGTGGTCAAATGCCCCTAAATTCAATCCCTGGTAACACCCCTTCCAAAAAGAGTGAACCTTTTTTTTTTTTTTTTTTAAGAGTAAATAAAACAGATAGTTAACAGAAAATAGGACCTTTATTCTTACTTGCTTATAACCAGTAACATTTAATATTTTTAACATATGATAAAGATAGACTTAGTATTGCCCGAAATCTAACGTCTTTAATATCCTACCTTTTTGAAAGAGGTTCTCTGGAAGATATGAAAAAGTGGCTAGCAAGTTTCTTTTTTTTTGATGGTAGAGAGTATGGACTGAGGTCCTCTTGAGTGTTTCCTTAGGGCCTATTACCTTTAGCTCACTAATGTGTTTGGGGTGGAAAAAGAGGCAAAATGGATAGTGGTAGAGAGGTACACTGTTTTAAAGCCAGGTATTTAAATTATCATCTGACTTTAAGTCAATAGAAATTAAAACAGTAGAAAAGCTAAATGTTTGGTTATTTTCATAGTTCTTGGAGTTTGTGTTGGTACATAAAAATCAGTGCTTTCATTTAGCCATATTAAAATCTTCCTCACAGAATACATATAAGGAGAGAGCAGAGGGACAAATGTAGTTATATATGAGATTGTGAAGATTTGATTTATTGGGAAGAATGTATTTTTTGGTCCAGTGATTTTTATTTTTTAGTATGGGGGATTGAACCCAGGGGCATTCAAACACTGAGCCACATCCCCAACCCTTTGTATTTTGAGACAGGGTCTTTCTAAGTTGCTGAAGTCGTTGCTAAATTGCTGAGGCTGGCTTTGAACTAGTCCTGCCTTAGACTCCCTAACTACTGGGATTACAGGCATACACCGCTACTCCCACATGCTCCAGAGATATTTAAGGAATTTTCAGGGTTGATTTCAGTTTTAGCTTCTGATTCTTAAGTCCTAATTAACATTCCTTCTCTATTCCTCAATCTTTTTGGCTTATGAAATACTAAAAGTTAAGGTGTTAAAGGCTATTAGTATACTAACCAACATTTGTCTAATATTTTTACAAACTGCTTTCATATACATTTTATACTAGAGATTTATTATAGTCCTTTTTATACACATGACTTTTTTGAAAATTGGTACACGTGTCAGACATTATCTGGTACCAAAAACAAATAATTCAGCATATTAGTGAAGAAAAGTTCAACTAGAGAAATGGTGGTTACATGGTTTTAAATGCAATTTTATAGGAAATGACATAAAATACAGGAACCATAGATTCATTTAATGTACCTTTATTATTTAAAAAAGGAATAAATAGCTCTAATTCAAATATTTTATTATCATGAAACCTAAACAGAGGGTTATAACTGTTGTTTGATTTTTATGACTTTGTTAGATTTAAAAAAATCAAAGAAATCTATGAAATAACAGTGTTCTCTTGCTGACTTCAGCCATTCCTGAGTTAATTGAAAAGAATAGTATGTGAGATGTTGGATTATAGTTTTATAATTGCTGACTCATTTTACTACATAAAGAATAGAGCTGGGTGTGGTGGCGCATGCCTGTAATCCCAGTGATTTAGGAGACTGAGCCAGGAGGATTGTGAGTTCAAAGCCAGCCTCAGCAATTAAGTGAGGCTCTAAGCAATTCAGTGAGACCCTGTTTCTAAATAATATATAAAAAAGTGCTAGGGATGTGGCTCAGTGGTTAAACACTCCTGGGTTCAACCTCTGGTGCCAAAAAAAAAAAAGAAAGAAAGAAAATTAAAAGTCATTATACATTTATTTTACTAGTACTTGCATTTATGCTGTAACATACTGCTTTTTAAAACTGTAATAATAGTATATTTAATTCAGGGCATTCAAAATATTTTACTAAAATTATGCAGTTGATGAGATATAATCATTATTTAAAATTTAAAAATTAGTAGTATTTGGGTCAACAAGGCCATTCTGTAATTGCTATCAAATATTTGGCTTTGAGAAGTTTCCTGATGAATATATTGGTTTTTTTAAATTTTTTTTTGTAGTTGTAGATGCACAGCATGCCTTTATTTCTTTTTATGCATTGCTAAGGATTGAATCTATTGCCTCACACATGCCAGACAAGCGCTCTGCCACTGAGCTACAACCTCAGCCCCGAATATATTGTTATATCGGTATTAAGACATGATGATGCAGAATAGAAAAGCTTCAAAAGACCAGTTTTTGAAAAGTTTAAATTTCTTTAAGAGTAGTCCTAAAGCAGCATTTTTTTTTTTTTTTTTTTTTGGTACCAGGGATTGAACTCAGGGGTACTTAACCATGGAGCCACATCTCCAGCCTCCCCTTTTTTTTTTTTTTTCTCACTGAGTTGCTTAGGGCTTTTTAAGTTGCTGAGGCTGGGTTTGAACTCTCACTCCTCCTGCATCAGCCTCCAGAGCCACTGAAGCAGCTATCTTTTAAGATGATGGTGGAAATGATACTCTTTTCCGCCCCAGACCTGGAAGTAATTGTCTCATTTCAGACTTATACTATAAAATGGTTAGCCATTATGTTATGAGTGGGGTTTGGTAAATGTGGCTGATTGACATTCAAGCATGTGAAGTCCACACTGTACCACTGAGCTACATCCCCAGAATCACCTTTCTCTGAGGGTGATTTTCAGAATAAAAACTCATCATCATTCAGAACTTCATCAAATAAATAAGATAGACAATCATATTGTTTGTGAATTTAATGAATAGTTTTAAAATAATGAGACACAGTATGAGAACTGGTTCCAATAGTACTTTCCAAAAAAGTACTTTGGAATAAATGCATCCCTTTTCAAGGTTACTGCTTTAAAGCATATTTACTTGATGTGCAAGTTTAGGTTCATGAGTTTAATTAAAACTTCATCACCTTTACTGCATAGTTAGATATAGTATAAGACCTTGGGAAGGTTTCAAAGCTAAACAAGGAGGAAAATTAAATCATTTTGTCAGTCAACTAATAATTGTGCCTAGGCAGGTAAAGATAGTGAGAGGATATTTTGTGACACCCAGTGGGAGCAAGTAGAAATCAGTCTAGGGTTATAATTATCAGCTTCTAAAGGCAAAAGAGAATTATCCTGAAGATTTCTTGGACTTTCTGTGTGTTCCTTTGGGTTGCAATTTGAAGAGGGAATTTATAGCTCAAATGCTTAGGATGTATGTTTACATACATATATATATATAAATAATATAAAATTCAATACGTGTATTTTTCTAAATTTAAACATTTCAAAATCATAAAAAAAATCTTATAAAAGCTATTATCACATATCAGAGAAATCATCACTGACCTTGTTAACTTCTTTTCATCTGTTTATTATAACATTGAGATAATAAGGAACTTGCAATTTTGAATGTTGTTTTGCTTATTTCAGTATAGTTTTTTCAAGGCAATAAAAATTCTTTATAAGCAAAATATTTAGTGGTGATATTTTAGTTTTTAAAAATATATTTTAGTTGTAGATGGACACAATACCTTTATTTTATTTTTATTAATTCTTACCTGGTGCCGAGGATCAAATCCAGTGTCTCATACCTGTGAGGCAAGCACTCCACTGAGCCAAAACCTCACTGAGCCAAAACCTCAGCCCCAATATTTTAGTTTTTTATTATTCATCTCCATATGGTTTATAAAATTTACTGTTTAACTATTTAAACTTATTATTGAAGAAATAATAAAAGCTTATGTTATATCTTTTCTCACATTCATGGTATCAAAAGTATCAGGAAAAAAGAGAGACAAAGACTTGAAGGCATTTGATAGAATTGGGCTTTCTTAGTTCCAGAAGCTTCACTTATTTATCATTTGTAAATGTTCTCTTTGCTAATATGTATCCATGGCCACTTTGCTATATAAACTAAGAGAAAAAACAATTATTTCTTCTCTCTCTTGTTGAAGGTGGTTGGAGGCAAAGTAAAGAAGCCTGGTAAACGTGGTCGGAAACCAGCCAAAATTGACTTGAAGGCAAAACTTGAGAGGAGCCGGCAGAGTGCAAGAGAATGCCGGGCCAGAAAAAAGCTGAGATACCAGTATTTGGAAGAGTTAGTATCCAGTCGAGAAAGAGCTATATGTGCCCTCCGAGAGGAACTGGAAATGGTAAATTCTCTCAGTAAAATAAGCCAATCTCATCTTGGCAAAATAAATGTATACAAAAATATCAGTTTTTGTTAATCCAGTTGGCAAACATTGGAAAGAATATTAATCTGTTAGCCATGCTGTGGGCAAATAGTCATTTTCTTAGGTGGGAACAAAATGTTGTTGTTTCATTGAGGAATTTTTTATGATAGGAAAAAATAGAAAATAACCCAGATGTGTAACAATCTAAGTCAAATAAATTATACTACATTCACATATGGGACTGCTTTGTAGCCAGTAAAAAAAATCACAGGGCACATATGTGTTTACTGGTATAGAAGGATGTTCATAATATATTAATTGTGAAAAACAGTGTAACAATATGTAATTGCACAAATTATGATACCATTTGTGTTTAAATGAATTTATCTATTTTACATGTTTTATTTCATTCATTCATTCATTGTTTTTTCTTTTTGATACTGGTGATTGAACATAGGGGCATTTACCACTGAGCCACCTCCTCAGCCCTTTTTATTTTTTATTTTGAGGCAGTTTTATTTTGAGACACTGAGTTGCTTAGGGCCTTGATAAGTTGCTGAAGCTGGCTTTAAACTTGTGATTCTCCTGCCTCAGCCTCCTGAGCCACTGAGATTATAGGTGTGCACCACAATGCCCAGCCATTTAATTTTTTTAATACATTGAATTTGACCTATGCTATAAAGTATTTTTACCTGCATTATAGGTTACTTAAGGGCTTCAACTTTGTATATACCCAAAGTCCATAGTATACACTCTGGTAGAATATACATCTCCTGTCATCTATATCTCATAGTAGTGTGTATGTCTGCAATCTAGTAGATGTTTAGTGACTGTTTGTGAAAGAGGGAAGGGTAATTACTAAAATTATTTTTTGTGTTTGGGATAGAAATAATACTGTGACAGTTATAAAAAATTGAGATGAATTCTAATTAATGGCATAGTATGAGGGCATGTTCTTTTAGTTAGAGGGACCTCTTTAATCTGAGCAACCCTCCAGCACATTTCAAAACTGTGCAGTAGCAGTTTTTCTGGCCTCTTCTGAAAGATGACAAATCTCATATATGATCTAATGTGATAAATGGAGTGTGGGATTCTCAGCAATCAACCTGACCTCTAATTGTGGGAGCTTGTATATCTAGGATTCTACCAGTGGTTCCTGAATTCTGTTAACTTTTTTTTTTTTTTTTTGGTGGGGGTACTAGGAATTGAACCCAGGGGTGCTTTAGCAGAGCTACATCCCAGTCCTTTCTATTTTGTAAGAGAGGAGCTCACTAAGTTGGCTTTGAACTTGTGATCCTCTTGTTTCAACTGGGATTACAGGTGTGAGCTACTGGGTCTTTTAACATTTTTATATATTTCAGTATAAGCAGTGGTGCATGGCAATGGACCAAGGAAAAATCCCTTCTGAAATAAAGGCCCTACTCACTGGAGAAGAGCAGAACAAATCTCAGCAGAATTCAAGCAGACACACCAAAGCTGGGAAGACAGATGCTAATAGCAATTCCTGTGAGTATGATCCATGGGAGAATTTTTATTTATTTTTTTATTTAAATTATTTTTTTGTTGTAGTTGGATAGCATGCTTTTATTGTATTCATTTATTTTTATGTGATGCTGAGGATTGAACCCAGTGCCTCCCACATGCTAGGCAAGTACTCTGCCACTGAGCTACAGCCCCAGCCTGGAAGAATTTTTATTAAGGGAGCATCTCAAGGTAGGGTTTCTGTTGATCACTTCCTTAATGTCTTTTTTTTGGAGGGTACCAGGGATTGAACTCAGGAGCCCTCGACCACTGAGCCACATCCCCATCATTTAGAGACAGGGTCTCTAAATATTTAGAGACAGGTTGCTTTGCACCTAGCCGTTGCTGAGGTTGGCTTTGAACTCACAATCCTCCTGCCTCAGCCTCCCATGTCACTGGGATTACAGGTGTGTACCACCAAGCCCGGCCTTAATTTGTCTTTAAATAAAATGAAAGGTTGATGTCATTTGCAATGCACTAGTAAGGAAGTTAAATAGCATTAGATTCTAAATACTGAAATGCACTTTATATGAGTTCTATAAAGGGCAACTGATCCATTTATGGAAATTTTTTTTATTAGGAAGATAATACATAAATAGGAATGACACTGATCTAGTTATTGTTGCTACTACTATATTTTATTTGTATTTTATTTAGAGACAGGGTCTCACTGAGTTGCTTAGTACCTCGCTTTTGCTGAGACTGGTTTTGAACTTGAGTTCCTCCTGCCTCAGCCTCCCCAGTTGCTGGGATTACAGGTGTGTGCCACTGTACCTAGCTTTATTTATATTTTTATTTACAGCTTACAAAGAAGTAGTTTCCCTTATATTTATCTTAAATATGAACTCTAATAATCACATTAAAGAATTTAAGGGTTGATGGTATAGCTCCATGGTAGAACATGTGCTTAGCATGTGCAAGGCCTGGGGTTTAATCCCTGGCACCAAAAACAAAAACAAACAAATTATACTTATTTTTTAGATGAGAAATAGCAGGAGTCTGGGTAATGTGCCCAAGGTCACACAGCTATAATATTAGAACCTGTCCTCACTAGTCCAGGCCCTTTTTCTGTCAATATAAAGATTTCTTTTCTTGCTGTGGAGATTGAACCAAGGGCCTCACATGCTGGGAAAGTGCTTTACCACTGAGCCCAACCCAGCCTAGGAATATTTTTTTCCCTCAAAATCTATTTTTTAGTTGTAGATGGACACAATATCTTTATTTTTATGTGGTGCTGAGGATCAAACCAAGTGCCTCACATGTGTGAGGCAAGCATTCTACCACTGAGCTATAGCCTCAGCCCCCCCACCACTTTTTAAAATTTATATAACAAAATTAACCATTTAAGAAAAAAATTAACCATTTTAAAGTAATAATTCAGAAGCATTTAGTATATTCACAGTGTTGTACAAGTATCACCTCTAGTTACATAACATGTAATCACTCTAAAAGAGAACCCTAAACCCACTAAATAGTTATTACCTTTATTCCTCCCCTGGCCAGTCCCTTAAGACTATGAATCTTCTTTTTGTCTATATGGATTTATCTTGGTCCGATATTTAATATAAATGGAATCATATAGTATATGACTTTTTTGTCTGGCTTCTTTCATCTAGCATGTTTTCAAGGTTAATTCACATGTCTTAGTGTTTATTCCTTTTTGTGGTCAAATAATATTTTTACACATATGTATATCACTGTTGTTTATCCACTTATCCATTGATGGACGATATTTTTTGTACCTTTTGGCTCTTGTGAACAATGCTCCTATGAACATGTATGTACAGATATTTGTATACTTATTTTCAGTTCCTTTGAGTATATACCTAGCAGTTAAATTGATGGGGCATATGGAAATTCCGTGTTTTAACTTTTTGAGAAATTGTCATGATGTTTTCCATAGTGACTAAAACATTTTATATTTCCATCAGCAATATATAACCTCTAATTTCTACATAGCTTATCAACACTTGTTATTTTTCATTTTTTATTATTTATCATTATTTATTTTTTTAAGAGACAGGGTCTTGTTATGTTGCCCAGGCTAGTCCTTATCTTCTATGCTCAAGTGATCTTCCTTTCTTAACTCTGGGGTTGCTGGAATTATAGGCATGTACCCATGTGCCTGGCTGGATTTTTTAAAAAACAGTAGCTATCCTAATGAATGTGAAGTAATATCTTATTGTAGTTTTGATGTGCATTTCCCTAAATATCTAATCATTTTGTATCTTTTCATGTGCTGCGATTGTTTGCCATTTCTTTGGAGAAATGTCTAAGTTTGCCAGTGTTTTAATTGTGCTTTTCATTTTGTTGTTGAGCTGTAAGAATTTTTTTCTGGATATTGGACCTTTATCAGATATATGATTATTTTCTCTCACTCTTTTAAGCTATCTTTTCACTTTGTTGATAGTGTCCTTTTGATACACAAAATATTTTCATTTTGATGAAATCCAATTTACTTTTTTTTCTTTTATTGCTCATGATTTTGGTGTCATATCTAAGACTCCATTGCCAAATCCAGGGTTGTGAAGATTTATCTCTTGGTTTTTCATCTAAGAATTTTATGGTCTTTTATTTGGGTTGTTGACCCATTTTGAATTTATTTTTCTTCATGGTGTGAACACAGGGTCCCTGTGTTGCATATAGGTATCCAGTTGGACCAGTACCATTTGTCTTATAGATTGTAATGATTTTGTTGGTTGATTGATTGATGATGATGATGATGATGATGATGATTTTGGTAATGGGGATTAAACCTGGGAGCACTTTACCACTGTGCTACATCCACAGCCCTTTTAATTTAAATTTTTTTTCTCTTTTTTTTATTGGTTCTTTTTAGGTATATAGGATAGAATACATTTTTACATAATTATACAAGCATGGAATTTATCTTATTCTAAATAAGTCTTTAGTACCTCTCCTTCTGCTTCTCTTTCCCCTCTCCCTTCTCTCTATTGATCTTCCTGCTATTTACCCATAGTTATTTTTTTAAATTAATTTCTTGGGCTGGGGATGTGGTTCAAACGGTAACGCGCTCGCCTGGCATGTGCGGGGCGCTGGGTTCGATCCTCAGTACCACATAAAATAAAATAAAGATGTTGTGTCCACCAAAAACTAAAAAATAAATATTAAAAAATTCTTTCTCTGGGCTGGGGATGTGGCTCAAGTGGTAGCGCACTTGCCTGGCATGCGTGCGGGCCGGGTTCGATCCTCAGCACCACATACAAACAAAGAAAGATGTTGTGTCCACTGAAAACTAAAAAAAAAAATAAAATATTAAAATTCTCTCTCTCTCTAAAAATAAATAAATAAATAAATAAAAATTTAAAAAAATAAAAAATTCTTCTCTCTCAAAAAAATTATTAAAAAAAATAAAAAATAAAATAAAATAAATTTCTTGTACATGTATATGATGATTGATTCATGTGGTATATTCATATATGTACATAGGAAAGTTATGTCAGATTAATTCCACTGTCTTTCCTTTTCTTGTCCCCCCTTTAATCCACTGAACTTCTATTCCTCTCCCCACCTTATTGTGGGTTAGCTTCCACATATCAGGGAAAACATTTGACCTTTGGTTTTTTTGGATTGGCTTATTTTACTTCGCATGATAGTTTCCAGATGTATCCATTTACCAGCAAATGTCATAAAGTCATTCTTCTTTATGGCTGAGTAATACTCAATTGTGTATATATATACCACAATATTTTTATCCATTCATCTGTTCAAGGGCACTTACATTAGCTTAGATTTTTTAAAAATTTTATTCTGAAGCTGGGTATGATGGCGCATGCCTGTAGTCCTAGCAACTTGGTAGGCTGTGGCAGGAGAATTGCAAGTTTTAGGCCAATTTAGGCCTCAGCAATTTAGGCCCTAAGCAACTTAGTGAGACCCTGTCTCATCAGTAAGTAAGTAAATAAATAAATAAATAAATAAAAACAGGGTTGGGGATGTAGCTCAGTGGCAAAGTGTCCCTCAATACCAAATAAATAAGTAAATTTTATCTGGAGATGAAGTCTTGGTAAGTTGTCCAGACTGGCCTTGACCTTGCAATCCTCTTGCCTCAACCAGCCCCACCGAGTCACTGGGATTACGGATGTGTGCCATTGCACCTGGTTTATAAAGATTCTAGAATAAAGGTATCAGGTGTTTTCTTCATTGCGATTACTCTGGGAGGACTTAATGTAGTTATTAGGAAATATTATCAATTTTTTAGTCTTTAATTTTTTCTTGAATTGATATAATTGTCTTTTTGATGACTTTTATTAAATGAGGTAACACTGGATCTTAATCAAAATTGAATTAGTGAAAAAAGGCAAATCAACTGTTTTTCTTTCAATCTATATTTAAAAAAATAACCTTCCCATAGATGCTAATCTGAAAAGAAATTCATACCTTTTAAAACAGATTAGTCAAATTTCATTGACCTTGAAAGCATTATAACATTGGTGAATTTGATTTATTTTTCAGGGTGAAGATGATATAAAATGATGAATCAGTGATTGAAGCCAATATTCTAATTTCCATGGAGGAAGAATAGGCAAGATTTTGCTTCTTGGCTCCACTTACTACCTACTGCTCAGTAGTCATCTCTGTAAATCTGCAGTTTCTACCAAAATGTGGGATTACAGATCTCAGAAGATCTTGCTTTAACTTTTAATACTTAGAAATTTTTCAAACATTCAGATCTGTTCTGTACTGCTACCCATGACATTTAACATGTTAAGATGCTTGAAAACACAAGAGTAAAGTGGTTGAAGATTGTATTTTTGCACCTTAACTCCACATTGCTTTATTGGTTAATTTATATTCATGTAATTCACATAATTATATGTGTATGTGTGTTTAGGTGTCACCTCCTTTCATGTTTCTGATTGCCCTACAAAGAGAAACCAAATGGGCTGATTGCTAACTGTAAGTTCTCAGCCTTTATGGACCTAATATTATTTCTTTTTATTTACTTGAGTAATGTTTATTTTCTGCATGAACCATGATTTCTCCTGTGAGCCATTCCAGCATAAGCTGTGAATATGTATTAACAAATATATACATTTCTATTTTTATAATCCATAGATATGCCTGTTTTAAATAATGTATATGTTTAAAAAATACATCAAGAAAAGCCTTAAGACAGCCTCTATTTAAAACTTTTGTTGCTGTCTTATCCAAATGTATTTATGAAAGTTTGGTAGGTCCACACTTTGATAATAGTCAAATTTCACTTTTAAGCGGAATTAACCTTTTAGGCATTTCAGCAGCATACATTATCTTGACAACCTAGAATATGTATGTATATGTATATGTTCTATTTTATGTTTATATATGTATGTGGGGAGGACAGGAGTGAATGTTCACACATTTTCTTGTGTACTCAACTAAATTGGAGAATTTTTCTGGAGAAAATAGGATGAGGGCTGGGATGTAGCTTAGTGGTAGAGTGCTTGCCTTAGCATGCATGAGGCCCTGGGTTCAGTCCCCAGCACTGGAAAAAAAAAAAAAAAAAAAAAGATGAAGAAATTAGCTGCTGAGATTGAGTTTCTGCCTTGAGATCTGGAAAAAAACAAGGGACAAACTGTTGGTAAATTTAGTGGCTATAGCCCTAAGCAGAGTACTTAGTGTCTTCCATGACATGAGTTTTCTTATGAACATGTTCTGAGCCAGAAAGAAACATACTATGGTCATGCATCTGGTTCAGTCTGTGCCTCCACTGGTATGAAGCACTGGAGCTGGAGTTGTACACAGCAGTGTAGCTAGTGTGTCCAGCAGAAAGTATGCAAGGGCAGAGGAGTTCTTTGCAGTTCCCATCATTGCTACATTTACTTTCTTCTTGACCACCAAATGGAGTGATGGTTGACGAATCAAACTTATAATATGATGTACTCAGACCTAGGAATCTTTTGATTTCCCCAGTGAGACACTTTATCACTCTTTCTCATAGTTAAATCAGTTGTGTTCTCTGTTGCTGCTAAATCATAATTGTTCTTCACTAATGAAACAAATGTTTGGCTTCCAAACAAATATACTTTTGTTATAGACTAGAAGTTTAATAGGAGGCATCATCATCTAGATTGTTTTTGAGGTGGGACATAAATTGGACCACACAGTTTAAGATTAAAAGATACTTTTTCCCTTTCTGTCAGGCCATGCATTTGAATAAAGTGCTTCCCCTTAGCCTGAGTTCCTAAAGACCTCTTGTGCTTAGGTTGCAAACTCAGATCTCTTGGCTAGTTGTGTGTAACTACTGATAAATCACTAGCCCAGCTTGTTGGGTTTCTGTATTTTGGAAGATAGGGACTTTAAGAGTATTTAATGTCTTCTTAGGACCATAAATGTGGGTAGATTAAGGATTGTTGATATTTAGACCTTCAGAATCTGTGTTTTAAATGTAATGTTCAGATTGTAATGGGTATGTTTTTGCCAGCTGGTCTACTCAATTGTATATTTTTATTTTGCAGAACAACCCAAGACTGACTTTATGTTGCTTTGTTCAGTACCTTCTGAATTCCCCAAAAGAGTTGTTTTCAAAGCAAACATTCCAAAATGAATGTGGCTCTTCAATGCAATGTCTCCATTGTGATTGAAGGATTTCTTTCTGGTTATAATTCTAAATGACAGGGTCATTTGCACTTCCTCCCCTCCTCCCTAGTATCTACAAGAGCAGGGACTTTGTCCTCAGGTAGAGGATATATAATTTTGGGTGAAAGTAAATTATAATTTATTTTAGTTTATTTCTGAACCTATCTATTTGGTATCTTGGAGTAGATCAAACTAAGAGAATGTTCCTTGGTCTTGAAAATGACTGTTGTGATTGCTTTGGGCATTGTGCTCGCTGCACACTTTGTCCACTTTGGAGCATGTGAATAAATGTCACTGATTAAAACAGTTAGAGCACTTCCCTCCCCATCCAGTGAAGGGGCAGCATACCTAAATCTCTCCCTACCTGTGATGACAGGGCTGGGAGAGGACAGACAGTGAAGGAACCAGTGAGTACAGGAGAAGGATTGTTCTCCTTGCCCTCTGAGTGGACAGAGAAATGTTTTTCCTTTTCCTTTTTTCCCCCAAAGAAAGAAAGGTAAAGGAAAAGATATATTTGTGTATTTAGACCAGGCATATTAAGTCATTATTTTAGCATCAACATTCCATATATTAGGTCAACTGAATGTAATATGGAATGAATCTGACCAGGCCAAATTCTAGGATTTAGTTGAAGTCCTTAAACATTTTTCCTATTTTATTTAAAATATTCCTATTACATCTAAATCAGAATTATCTCAGTGCAGCAAATTCATATAATTGTTTGCCAACTAATACATTACTTAGTGTTACCATTTAGCATTTAATTTTGTCATCTTTGAATTATGATTGATATGACTAATTATAGAAAGTACAGGTTTAAACTGGAGTTTTCTTAAGTTAAAGGCAAATGAAATTTTAAAAATGCTGTATTTCACAAGAAATCAGTTGCTACTATCAGTTACATATTTCATTTTTAAAAGGAGGAAGATTATTGAACCACATGGTATCTGGGGGCATTGAAGGGATTTTTTTCTTTCTCTGAGAGCATTGTACAATTATATTTTTATGAGAAATAAAATATCTTCACCAGAGTTTGTCTCAAGTTGTCTATTTCACAGTACTGAATTATGTCTGTATAAGAGTATGGGGTTTAAATAGAAGAACTGGTCCTAGGTCCATTTTCTGAGTCACTTGAAATTATTTAATCTCTCATTCTTTTTCCTCATCTACAAAAAAAGGAGAATAACTTTCACAGAATAGCTAAGCTAAATACGAGTTAAGAGAAATTGCTTGTTAAGTAGTACAAAACTATATTAAATGTTCATTATTATGCCTGTTTGAGTGTTTTTTTGGATTTAAAAAATATAGTTCTTTAATAAGTTGGAATCTAAAAATGTAGTGTTGCACACATCATATTTCCCAAGTCTTTAGCTATATTATGTCAGTCCTTGAAATAGTGTAGTTGGATTCTGGATGCTCTTTTTATCAACAGTAGCCTTCTATTATTAGGCTAATTTTAAGAACTAATATTCCAACTGGCAATATTATCCTATCATCTGCATAAAGCAGGTTTGCAGGCTGCTAGGTAAGTTGGTCCTCCCCTTCCCATTTCCTTCAGTTTTCTTAGTTACAGGGGTAATGAATCAGAGTTAGAACTGCATGTGTGGTTGTACCGATTGTTCTGCACAAAGGCCCTCAGTTAAGAGGGTAAAGGCCCTAAAATCTAGTTTCCAATCCCTTCAATAAGCTATATGTAGAGAAAGGGGCACTTGTCATCAGTTCATCTAGGCATAAATGTGTGAGGGTCTGTCTAGAAGAGGTGGCTTTTTTTTTTTTTAATTTTTTTTTTTAATACTTATTTATTAGTTTTCGGCGGACACAACATCTTTGTATGTGGTGCTGAGGATCGAACCCGGGCCGCACGCACGCCAGGCGAGCGCAATACAGCTTGAGCCACATCCCAGCCCCGAAGAGGTGGCTTTTGATGACTTGCTCAAAGTGGATACCTCTCTCTTTTTTTTTAATGTGCACAACAATGGTATGTAGCAGCTGGCTTTGCTGGCTTCCCAGAGAATGGCCAGTTTTATGCATCTTTTCCCAACTCCATGTTCAGTGACATTGGATTGGTGGCTTTTATTCATCTTGTTTGTATATATATAGTACTGGGGTTTAAACCCAGGGGTCCTATACCACTGAGCTACATTCCAAGCCCTTTTTATTTTTTATTTTGAGACAGGGTCTCGCTAAGTTGCCCCAGCTGGCCTTGAACTTATGATCCTCCTGCCTCAGCCTCTCTGTGTAGCTGGAATGAAAGGCATGTGCCACTGTGCCTGGCTATAAGAAGTGGTATTGAAATAACAAGTAAAAAAAAGCAAAGTCCTAAATAGTTTAATATGTTCTTAGTTGTATTTTAATGGGGATATATATATATATATATATATATACACACACACACACACACACACACACACACACACATATACCCACACATATATACATATCCAGATTCTTGATTTTATTGACTTTTTGAATTTATAAATCTATGATTTTTTTTTTCAGTGCTGGGGATTGAACTTAGGGCTTCACACAAGCCAGGCATGCACTCTTCTGCTAGGTATATCCCCAACTCACAAGATGTGGGTTTTTTTTTTTAATATTTATTTTTTAGTTGTACACATACCTTTATTTTGTTTGTTTATTTTTATGTGGTACTAAGGATGGAACCCAGGGCCTTGCATGTGCTAGGCGAGCACTCCACCACTGAGTCACAACCCCAGCCCAAGATGTGTTTTTTAAAAACAACCTTTACCTCTAGAGAGGGATGCTGGGAAACAACTTTAGGAAAAAAGATTATTTTTACATGTCAGCTTCTAAAATGGCCCCCACGTTCCATGCCTCCTGGTACTCATGCCCTTGTATAATTCCCTTTTCTTCAGTATAGGCAGGACCTATAACTTGCTTCTGATCCAGAACACAGTACCTGTGATGGGATGTCACTTCCATGACATAAGATAGTAACTTCTGCCTTGCTAGCAGACTCTCTTCAATGGCCTTAAAAAGCAAATTGCCATTTTGGACAGACCTCTATGCTAGGACCCGAAGGCAACCTCCAGTCAGGATCAGAGGCCACCAGTCCAACAGCCCCAGATGAACTGAGTTCTAACAATAAAACAGGCCTGCAAGCAGATCCAACCTCAACTGAGTCTTCAGGTGAGTCCTGTACCCTGACTGGTACCCTGATTGCAGCCTTATGAAGTATCCAATGCAGCTATGCCTGTGTCCAGATTGCTGACCCACAGAAACTATGAGTGTGTGCTGTTTTAAGCTGCTAAATTTTGGGATGATTTGTTATCTAACAATAACATACAGCTGTTTCATTTTTCCTTAAATATATCCTTCATGTTTAATTAAGAATAAATTAGGGGCTGGGGCTGTAGCTCAGTGGCAGAGCACTTGCCTGGCATGTATGAGGCACTGGGTTTGATCCTTAGCAACACATGAAAATAAACAAATGCATTCTGGACTGGGGTTGTGGCTTGAGGGTAGAGTACTCGCCTACCAGGCATGAGGCGCTGAGTTCGATCCTCAGCACCACATAAAAAAATGAATAAACAAAATAAAAGTATTGTGTCCATCTATATCTAAAAAATATTTAAAAAATAAATAAACTACAAAAAAAATTTAAAGAATAAATTAGTTAAAAACACCTTCCAGCAGGGCACGGTGATGTAATCCCCAGCAACTCTGGAGACCGAAACAGGAGGATAGTAAGTTAGAAGCCAGCCTCAGCAATTTAGCAAGCTCTAAGCATTAAGTGAGACCCTATCTGAAAGTAAAAATTAAAAAGGACTGGGGATGTAGCTCAGTGGTAAAGCACCTCTGGGTTCAGTCCCCAGGACTGGAAAAAAAAAAAACCCACCCCAAAACCTCCCCCCAAAAAACAAAAGCAATACTGACTTAATTTCCTTTCTTTCAGATTCCATATTCACAAACAACCTTCAAGTTATCCTTCTAGGCTCCCAGTTGTTCCTAAACTGTTAAGAGGATGCCTTGAATAAGTCATCTAAGCATTCTGGTCATTGGAAATGAATATACTCCTTTTTAAATAAATACAGTGGTCTTATGGTCAATACTTGAGTCACCTATCAAGACAATTGAGAGAAGTGCATCCAGCCCTGGCATAGTGGATCAGCTCTGGACATGTGAGGGCAGTTTGGGATGATTCCATTAAGCTCCTTGTTAGTATCTCAGGCCTGGTAATGAATTCTACCCATTCTTCCTGGCAACCTCAGTTACCAGGGTCAGGATTTCCCTTTCACCTGTAACAGCTTTTATAGACCAACAACAAAAACAACTGAAACAGGTGCTATTACAGAGCTCTACCTTGTCAAATTCAATCAAGTTTTAACGTGTGGGCTTGTTTAGTTGAGTGTTTCTTCAAAGCACAAAACCAACAATTTTCTTCAGTATAAGTAGTATTTTCCCCTTTGTACCCAAACAATAGGCTCATATAGTTTAAAAAACAAAAACAAAAAACAAGCTGGGTATGGTGGTGCACGCCTCTAATCCCAGCAGCTCAGGAGGCTGAGACAGGAGGATCCTGAAGCAACTCCATGAGACCCTGTACCTAAATAAAATACAAAATAGTGCTGGGGATGTGGCTCAGTAGTTGAGTGCCCCTGAGTTCAATTCCAGTTGCCAAAACAAAAAGACTATTATGCTAGTTCTAATTTTTTTTAATCAAAATAAAAGTTCTTTAAATTTTGTGTTCAAGAGTTTAAGCATTTGACTTTTTCATTCTTTCTTCCCTTTTCCACTCCAGATACAGATAGCCTTTTTTAGCACCTTGACTTTGATATCACTGGATTTTACTTAGGCTTCTAGATATAGCATAATTCACTTGGTTTAACTGAAAATATACAATTGTCCCATATTTTTGCTTCAACAACAGCCTGCAGTTAATTATGATCAAGAGAAAACTTGTCATATTTCACTGCTTTTTCATATTCCACTAGATTGCATAGTAGAATTATGAGTCAATTAAGTTTTCCCCATTTGTACTCTCTTGTGTATGTGGAAATCCCAACATAAGAGTGCTGATTAAAGTCTTAATTCTTATGTATTCTGTGCACCCTGACTTTTTAAACCATTCCTTATTTAAGAAATATTTCAAGGGGAAAAGCTCTAGAAGTAGACCTACCTATCTCCCTTCCACACAAGCTCCTACCCTCATTTTTTCCTTCCACCTCAAATCTTCAGAATCTTGGCCAAACTGAAAAAGCAGCTAAAGAAAGAAAGCAAGGCTACAATGTGAGGCTGGTGTTAAAAACCTGTTCCTACGAGAGTTAGCATATGTCATTGCAGTGCTAACTCAAAAGATGCAAAAATTCATTGGGTTGGCAATGACTAAGTTAAAACAGTGCCAATAGGTAACCCTTATTGATAGCTAAATCCCAAAATTTCCATAAAGGAGTTTTAATGTCTTATATCTAACTGTTTTGGGCAAAGGGCTAGATCTACCTTATCAACTGTCTGCCTGCTGAAAACCAAATTATGTTTTCAAACCTCCAGACCTGCCTCATTATCCTGAAACCAGATACTGATACACTAATCATGACAGAGCCCAGCAATCGCTGGTCATTCTTCCTCAGAACTAAAATCACATTCTTCAAATTATAAATGAATCCAAATTAAGTAATGGTAATGTGTAACTCAATTAGAGTTGATAGAAAGTTGGTAAGAGTATAATTTTAAAGCAGCTTCTTTTGAGAGAATATACAGAGTTCTTAAAGTGTGCAGTTGACCACAAGTCCAGAATGGGAGCCAGGCACTGTGGCACATGCTGTAATTCCAGCCTTTTGGGAGGCTGAAGCAGGAGCATTACAAGTTAAAAGCCAGCCTTAGCAACTTAGGGAAGTCCTGAGCAACTTAGTGAGACCCTGTCTCAAAATTTAAAAAAAGAAAAAATTAAATGGCTAGGGATGTGACTCAGTGATAAAGTGCCTCTCTGGGTTCAATCCCCAGTACCAAAAAAAAAAAAAAAAAAGTTCAGAATGGTCTGGACTGTAGGGACTGGGGAGTGAAAATATTT